TGTATTTATTGATGTTGTTAGCCACTTTGGGGGGGGGGGGGAAGCAGAGAATAAATACATTCAGCAAGTGTGACTGGTGGAATGTTTTACATTAGTTTAAGTGCTCTCCCAGAATTACAAGCGACCTCCGGTCTAGAGAGGTGAGGCCCCCCCTGGAGAAAACAGCTGCTCTGGAGGGTGGGCTCTATGGCACTGGGCCCTGCCGAGGCCCCTCCCCTCCCCAAACCCCGCCTTTCCCAGGCTCCACCCACAAATCTTCAGGAGTTTCCCAACCTGGATTTCACAACCACACCTCACATTGGAGGTGAAGTACCAAACCCCCTTTGGGAACGCTCTGTTGAAAGCTCTCTCTTAGCCAATAGCTAACTGCTACTTTCTTCAAAAGGGAACTAAAAGCTGCGACCATAAGGGATCCCTGTGTTGATTGGTGCAGGGGTAAGGGTTAAACCCCCCCCCCCCTTGTGCCACAGCCTTGATTCACACTGTTCCCTGCTGCTATTTTAAGCTTGGAAAAAATACACCAGGGGAGCCAATGTTCCCTCTAAGCTGTGGAGTCTGGTGAGCAAAAATTCTATTTTGCGAGCTACTGGCATTAAAGTTGTGAGCGAGCGATTTGGCTGCTGCATAAATTAGTTTGCTCTGGAGCCAGCCTTCCTGAGCTACGACAGAAATGTGTGAGCCGGAAGCTAAAAAACGGTGAGCTAGCTCACACTAACTCAGCTTAGAGGGAACACTGCAGGGGACCCAGCTTGAGATAGGCCACACATCCCTCAGAGCTCAAGTGACCCAGGCTAGTCTCCGGGGCCAGACGTACCTGACAAAAGCCACTGCATCCTTCTAACATAGCACTGCAGGACTCTCTCCATTTGCTCAATATACTCCTCTAGATCCTTGGGCTGAATGTGCAAGTGCTTCACGCTGCCCTAGAAATGCAATTTGTGGAGAGTCACTGTATTAACTGATGGTTATCAAACATGCGGCTGACAGAGAATTTAAATTGATAAGACAGGCGGGAACTTGCTATATTCATAGGGAAACCCCTGGAGATAGGTTTGTCAAGTCCGGCAGTGTCCCCAGCAGGGGACTTTGGGGGGGGGATTCCTCTAGGGGGTGGAGATGTCCCCAACGTGATGATATCACATTGGGGATGTCCCCGCCCCAAGCTCCACCCCCAACAGTGTCCACCCATTGCCATCCCCTCTCCCTCCACTCATGTGATATTTAAAGGGCCCGCCAATCAGCTGCAGGGCCCTTTAAATCTTGCAGGAGGGGAGGGAGACGGGCCGCCGCTGGCCGTGCACCTAATAATAATATACTTTATTGTCATTGTACATAGTACAACGAAATTAAAGGTGCAATCATTCAGTGATCTACAACCATACTCATACACTCACACAACCATTCACAACCATCCCATAACTCCCTTAAGGTTCACATTGCAACTTAAACCACCAATGTCACCCAAATTCCAATTTCATACAGCATTTAAAGCAATAGTATCTCTCGAATAAAAACTATTTTTTAATCTTTGTCCTTGTTTTAATTGTCCTATATCTTCTACCCGAAGGCAGCAGTTCAAACAGGGAGTGTTCAGGGTGTGACAAATCCTGCAGAATGTTCTTTTCTTTTTTCAAGCATCGAGAACTATACAATTCCTCCAGGAACGGGAGAGGGCAGCCAATAATCTTCTGGGCTGTGATGATAACTCTCTGGAGTGCTTTCCTATCCACAGCCGTACAACTGGCAAACCAGGCACAGACACAGTATGTTAAAATGCTCTCTATTGAGCAATGATAGAAGGACATCAGTATTTTCTCACTCAAGTTATTTTTCTTTAAAAGTCTGAGAAAAAAGAGCCTCTGCTGGGCCTTCTTCATCAGAGCAGTGGTGTCAGCGCTCCAGGTCAAGTTTTGCTCAATAATCACTCCAAAAAACTTAAAAGTATCCACCTTCTCCACATGTTCTCCACCAATAAATAGTGGCTGGATGTCTGTTTTGTCCCTCCTATAGTCCACTACCAATTCCTTTGTCTTGGTGGTGTTGAGGATCAAATTATTTTCCCTGCACCAAACACAAAGCCGTTCCACCTCGTCCCGATAAGCAGACTCATCATTCCCAGAGATGAGCCCCACCACAGTGGTGTCATCAGCAAACGTGATGATGGTGTTACTGGGGTGGGTGGGGGTACAATCCTGTGTGTAGAGGGTATAAAGCAAGGGGCTCAACACACAGCCTTGTGGAAAACCGGTATTAAAGGTAAGGGCTGTGGACATATAGGACCCTACTCTAACCCTCTGGGGGCGGGCTGTCAAAAAGTTCAAAATCCAGAAACATATGGAGCTGGAGAGTCCAAGGCCCTCCAATTTGGACACTAATCTATCTGGGAGGATGGTATTAAAGGCAGAACTAAAATCCACAAACAACAGCCTCACATAACTCCCCGGCTGCTCCAGATGTGACAGAGCCCCAAGCTATGCTGCTTGGAACTCAGGTGCTCAAGGCCTGACCCCACTGCCCTGAAGCATTTAAAGGAGGCTGGTTTCTCCAGGAGCTTTGCACTCACATTCCTTCTTATTAACACAAGGAACCCTGGGTGTGGGTAAGTTGCTTGACTGTGAGTATCTGGGAGTTGCAGAGGTACCATGGTCATGTGTCTTAGCAACACACCTGATCGGCCAAACAGGATCAGGCCAACTGCAGGCAGTCTGGCATAAAGCAAGACCATTCACTGTTGTCTGATCCCTTTGGGCTTCCTTCTGTCTTTGGGCCACCCTTCCTTCTAGAGAGCCAGTCGGGTGTAGTGGTTAAGTGCGCGGACTCTAATCTGGGAGAACCGGGTTTGATTCCCCACTCCTCCACGTGCACCTGCTGATGTGACCTTGGGTCCGTCACAAGCTCTGGCACAGCTGTTCCTGAAAGAGCAGTTTGTGTCAGAGTTCTCTCAGCCCCACCCACCTCACGGGGTGTCTGTTGTGGGGAGGGGAAGGGAAAGGAGTTTGTAAGCCACTCTGAGACTCCAAGTGAAGGGCGGGGTATAAATCCAATCTCCTCCTCCTCCTCCTCTTCTTCTTGCCATCCTTTTGACTGTAGGCTGGGCTTTGTGTGGTTGGAACACCTGTTTCTTGGATTCTGGACTTCTATCTGGACTCTGTACCTTCCGTCTGACCTGGTAACACCTGGGTCAGAGGACTAAAGCCTGAATAAGAACTCTAGGTCAGACATGCCGTTAAATCCAACTCAGCTGTGAATGTCTGATGGGATCTAAAGGGCATGATCAGACAGCAACATCTGGGAAAGGTCCCACAGCTGTCAGCACCCCATGCTGCCCCACCATAAAAGTGGAGCTAAAAGACACTGGGGAAAGTCTGCTCCTCAGGCCCGTAGCTAACAACTTTTTACTCAGGGGGCCCATGTTTTGCTCAGGGGGCCCAGTATGATCGAGCCTGCCAAGAGGTAGATTACAGTGGAACACAACACAACCACTTGCTCTCACAGTGGGCAGCAATCCAGCTCAGAGGTTCACCTTGCCATTAGTTTAGCAACTTTTGATGCCTCACATTGGGTGTGTACACGCACACACACTACTAAAAAAGCCTGCATGGAGAAACAACCTCCAGTGGGCCAAAGAAGAGGGTTCCTTTAGACATTGCACATTGGAAATGCCAGATCTCCGTGGGCTCTTTTTCAATGGTAGGTGCAGATGCCACAGAACGCTATGGAATTCACTTCAGATGTGCATATTATCTGCAGCTTCTGAGGGAGAAATGACACACCCAAAGCCATAGGACACCAGAGATAATTTGGAAAAGGATAATAGAGGCAGCAGCAAGGTCCATGTTATTAAGGAGTCCTGCCAGCCCAGATGAACTCAGAAAAGACACCTTAATTGCACAAAGAGTGCAGCTTCCCAAGGAGACCCATCCCGATGCTACAAATGCTCTGTGGCCATTTTCCCCTTCACAAACCTCAATTCCACACAAACCCATCCCTGGACCTTGAACTTCCAGTTGCAACAACAGCCTGAATGAACAATGAAACCACAACCTCTCTGGCTGCAGCAGCTTCCCAAGGAGACCCATCCCGATGCTACAAATGCTCTGTGGCCATTTTCCCCTTCACAAACCTCAATTCCACACAAACCCATCCCTGGACCTTGAACTTCCAGTTGCAACAACAGCCTGAATGAACAATGAAACCACCACCTCTCTGGCT